GCTGTGTCTCTCTCTGTCAAATAAATAAATAAAATCTTAAAAAAAAAAAATCTACTTTCTTTGCTCACTCTCTGAATCACTTTGAAATTAACATTGCAATTATTGTCCTGTTGTCAGTAAAGCATCTCTTGTACCTTTTGAATTGGGGGGCCTGCTAACTGGGCTTAGTGTCAGGAAAGATGGCTCAGGTGTCAGATGGAGCCTGGTTTGCAATCCTGGTCCACAGTTCACTAGCTGGTAAGACACTGAACAAATAACTTAACCTCTATGAGCCCCAGTGTCTTAGCTCTAAAACAGGGAAATGATTATAATGCCATATCTCATAGGTTTGCTATGGGGATTAAATAAGGTATAGCCAGGAAGCACCTCGCCCAGGCCTGGCACTCAGGGGTCCTCCCCAAATGCTGAGGATAAAGGTTTAGCAAGAAGCGATGGTTTGGTGAATACAGGTTTCCTCTCTCTCCCCACCTGAGCATGCCAGAGAAATTCACTCTAAGCACTAATGTGAGTTTCTTCACCAAAGGTTAACAAATCCTTAGCATATCTTTCCCTCATCCTGGAACATGGAGTTACAAAGGACTGGAGAGACCGTCTATCTCATCTACTGGATGCCCTGCCAATGAGACACTTGGAGGCCTGGAGGTCTCCCCGGGAGCAAGGTCAAGTGGAATAAACAGGGATTTGGGCTCCAACTTGTTTTGGCTGATTTCTCAGCCTCTTTGAATCTCAAATTTTTCATGTATAAAATGGGGACAAGAGGCTTACTCACACTTGTAGTGACAATTAGTAAGATAATTTAAAAGCTAGCAAAGTGAGTGGCACCACATAAGCTTTCAATAAAGGGACATTTTTGCATTGTGATTATTATTCTTAACTTTCACTGAAGTACGTCACACCAGGGCAGAGTGATTGTGGCTGCTAGAAAGATCTTCCTCACTTTGGTCCCAAACTTCCTTCCCCGTGACTTCAAAACATGGAGCTGAGACCTCCCCTGCATAGGACAGGTCTGTTTCTCAAATTCCAACTGTGGCCACTCTGGCCCACTCAGTCCCAGGATAATCCCAGATTCCTCCAACCTGGCTTCCTAGGATCTTGGAAGCCACGCTCATTTTCCCAAATTGAGATGCAAACTCATTAAGAACCTAGCTCTTGGGTTTCTGCTGAATTTCAAATGTGGTTAGCTGTCATCCGGTCCTCTTAATTTATAGATTTCACTCCGAGAAAATCCAACATAGATCCACACAAGGGCTTTTTGGAGAACCTATTCGTGGGGTGAATGCTCTTCACACAAGAATTCTTTTTTTTTTAATAAAAATATACATTTCTTTAAATATTAAATGTATCTTTCCCTATGATACTTAAAATAAGATTTGGCTGATGAAAATTAGATTCGCACGTACCTTTGGAAGAAGAGAGCCTCTGAGTAAAAGTAGGAAAACATACACAGGTTCTTTTATTCATCAAATACGTGTTGAGCTCCGCTGTATGCCTTGTACTGGGCCAAGCAAGTGGGAGGTCACGGTCAGGAGGGCACCTTCCTTTTGTCCTACTACAGAATCCCTCTGTACACCATAAAGAATTCCCTGGGAAATAGCCCACACATCCCTCATCTGCAGCATTGGGTAAACAAAATCGTCTTTTAAATGCACAATGAGATCTAGTTCTGATTTGAGGGGGCTATCGGTAGGGGATTCGTGGGTTTTTGTCTAGCCCATATATTTTTGGATGCTCAGGCACCTAAATTATCAGAAAGTCAGATACTCTTGTCTTGGGAAAGGAGCCAGAGAGACAGTAAAAAGACTGAAAAACGAGAGCGTGAAGTCGGTGATGCGGATATATTTTCCTTCTCGACACGTCTGGAAGCTCTAAGTATAGGGGCAACAACATGGGTTAGAAAGTCAGCCGGACTTGGGTTAGAATCCCCGCTCCTCGACTCACCAGCCGGGCAACTTTGGTCAAGGCTCCATACCTCTCTGAGCTTCCATTTCACATTTGTAAGAATAGAAATAATAATGGGCACTTTTCAGCATGATTGCGAAGCTTCTCCACGAGCTAACACACATATAGCACTGAGAACTAGGTCTGTTACACAAAAGGTACTAAATAAAAGAATTATAACAGTAAATATTTATATTCTACTAATAAGATAAATAATAGCCTCATTTCCACTCATAACAACTTTCTGTTCCTTTTAAGCTCCAACCCCTTTTTGGCTTTTAATCCTGGTTAAATATATTTCTGTTTCTAAACAACTGGTAAGCCTCTGTCTTCACACCAGAACTGGGTTGTTTGGGTCAACAGACCCGAAGTCTCTGGAAAGGGTCCCTGTGGCAGAAAGAGAGGTGTCCTGTGCCCAGTATGTGACCTGACCCTGCTGCCCTAGGCTGATGCCGAGTGGATCCACTTCTTGGTTTGACCCACATACAGCCTGCCACCGTGTCAGTTATTTCAAGTGGGGCTGGCCCAGACATCTGCTGGGCCTCCCAGGGCTCTGCAAGAGCAGAGGAATGTCCCGGGATGCCACTCCCAGGGGCCCTGGAGGCCATCCTAGGGGCTCCACCAACTCCCATGAGCCCTCAAGCAGGGAGAGGGTCTAGATGTGCGGCAGAGTTGGCCAAGTGCCCAGCGTCCTGTGCGTCAGCAGCAGATTCATGCTAGTCCATCACCTCTTCTGAAAATTGGCTGACCCTGCCCTGACCCTGCAGTATTGACTGGAGACTTTTCCCATGAATAAGAATGAAAGTTATCAAATTGCATTTCTGACCAGAATGAGCCCAGTTTGTACCCTTTACACGACAGGGCTGAAGAGAAACTTAACCTCCACAAAGCCTGGGTTAATGAACACAATTTTCCTTTAAAAATCAAAACCAAACAACCATTCACCTCACTTGGCAAATTTTTGGTGACCTTAGGGTGCGCAAATCTCCAGAATCAGAGCTACTGGCGTATGCTATGGTCAGAACTATCTATTAGAATGCCCCTTGGCAGGGCCCAGATGATAGACTGTTCCAGTGTCCTAAATCCCATCTGTCCTTCTGAATGGACCCAAAGAGTCTTGTGGCTTAGCATCGAGAACGGGAATGGGTGATATTAAATGCCTAGCTGATTCTGCTCCTCGGGACTCCGGCAAGATCCAGCAAGACTTCCGGTGACTTGGACAGGCTTGGGTTTTGTCCAGAATCATTGGAGATGGGCACTTTCTCTGGAGTGTATGCAGCATGCTGCCAAGGAGGGGACTCATACTCTGGGACCGAGCAGCACCATAATGGGTCATTTGGGTGGCTGGAGATAGGACAGGGGGCCAAGGATCTGGATCAGGACAGTTAGAAGTCCGTGGGAAGTGGACAAAGAAGGCTCAGCTGTGGTCCTCAGAGGGTTGGCTTTACAAACATTGGGCCAGGCCCCAAGCCCCGTGTTTTGTGCCTGCCTAATTGGCAATTTCTGAGAAGTCAGGGTAGGATTCTAAGTCAGCAAAGATATCGTTGGGATTCCTACAACTCAGGTTGCAGAAGCAAGCATTAATCCATAGGACCTGGCGGGAGAAGCCAGGCCCATCGGGACACTGGAAGGAGACATCGATGGTCTTGGACTTATAGGGGATGCAGCATCTGCTGTCCGTGCAGACCCCACAGTACTTCGGCCGGTAGGAGCGTGTGCTGATGCAGCCGGCGAGGGTGAAGTTCATGGGCGCCTCTGGCTGGTACACGGCCAAACACTTCTTCCCTTCCTGCAGGAAAGGAGGTTTCAGTTGGGATGCTCAGAGGATGAACAGCCACCTTCCTCCCTCCAAGCCCTCAATTCTCCCTTTGCACTCACCGTGCGGGCCCACTCCACCTTTCCTTCAGGTTTGTGGCATCTTTAAGCTGGGAGGGACCTCCCCAAGCACAGCAAGACGCAGCCACGTTACGCAGGACTAACTTCGGACCTCACGGGGCACTGTGTTGCAGAGGTGGTTCCTCGCAACCCGCAATGTCCTCTTGCCTACATTTCTGCCTCGTCAATGCCCAGGACCCCGTCACAGTTGTACCAACACAGAAAGCCCGTGTTGCCTCTCCAGTCTACCCAGCGTCCCGGCTAGTGAGCAGCAGAGCCATCCCAGGGCTCCACGACTGGGGCATGTGCTTTCCCCGAACCTGCCCCTCCTCCACACACCCCCGCCCCGCCTCTCACACACACCCTCCTCACATAACTTGTCCAACCGCAGTGCGTTCTGTAGAGTCTGCTCTGTCTCTCCACTGGGATGTGGGCCAGGCAAGAGGAGGGCCCTTTCTGTGACTACAGGCCAAGTCTGTGCCTGGTACACAGTAGGTACTCACTAAGCTCATTGCAGGAACGGCTCTACTATGTTCCGGCATCATGCCAGAACTCGGGGTAGAGCAGAGCCAGGCTCCGTGGGGCTTGAGGCTTACACAGTTCAAGGAGCCATCGGAGGCTCACAAGTACAAAACCAAATTTGGGTGCGAAGCATGAGCCAACAGCGAGGACGTGAGGTGGCGCTGGGGTAGAGCACCCTCCACCTCGAGTGCCCTGGGCATTCACCCAGCTTAAGACCTCTGCCCCTGTTTCTCCTGCTGCTGGTTGCTTTTCCATCCATGCTCCCAGGAAAGCCACATCTTCTGAGTACCTACTGTGCACCGAGCACCAAGAATACGCAGGCCAGCATGGCCGAGGTCACTGATCAGAGAGAGAAGAGAAGAAGAAGGACGAGGTGGCAGGATCGGGCTGGCGGGCACAGAGATCACTGGAGTAGGGGAAGGGGACAGCAAGCGAGGAGGATTTGTGGGAAGCTGAGCTGCCTTGTCTCCCGGGCACCCCTCTCCTCAGCAACCCCAAGAAACCATCAGTACTCCAAAAATGGAGTCAGTGCTGAGTTTTTTTTGTTTTTTTTTTTTTCTTTTCCATGCAAGGCAGATGACCAGTCCTAAGATAGAAGCCAGGAGGCCTTGAGAGAGGCAAATCAGACCCATTTCTCACTGCCGTAACCTACTCTGTCCCGGATCCTTTGTTTTACTGATCTTAGACTCTCCAAGCTGGAGGAGATGTCTGAGACCAACCGCGCGTTTTACTGATGAGGGGCCTGGGGCTCCGAGATGTGCAGAGCGGCCACCGTCCTGTGCAGCCAGCAGTAGACGGGCACGTGACCCCTGCTGTCCTGAGCCCTGTTTCGAGCTCCCCGACTGCCCAGCGCAGCTGTCATGCGTGCTGGGACAGGAGCAGAGGGGGAGTGGCGGCCAGCGAGGGTCACCTCCACATCACCACCGGAGAGCACTTGTTCCCATTTCACAAAGGACCCCCACGAGGAAGTCCAGGGGCCAGGCTTGAAGCGGGGCCTGTCTGTCTGGAAGTCCGACGCGCCTCCCCCCTCCCCACCCCCCCAACCCCCCCCGGAAGGTGGACTGACCTTGATGTGTGGACGCATGTCCACGTCACAGGGCCGCAGGTTGCAGAGGCGGCTCTCTTGCTCGGGCCAGCAGTGGCTGTTGGCGTTGGAGATGCGAGTAGAGACCCCCAGGCCGCAGGTGGTGGAGCAGGGACTCCAGGGGCTCGTGTAGGCCAGGCAGTTCCCGTGCCACGGCTCCGTCTCACCTGTGGCCGCTGAGGACAGGGACCAGACTCCCCGTGAGCTTCCTGCCGCCGTCAGCACACACAGGGTCAGGCACCCTGAAGCTCCCAGGGGAGGGGTGCGGGCTGTCTCCCCCACCCCCGAAAGGGCAAGTCAGCTTCTAACCAGCATGGGTCCCCAGGGAGAGGAGGACCTCTTTTGAGCTCTTACACTTCTCTGGAGGAAAGACCATCTTTACAGAGAGGTGGACCAGAGTGCAAATCCTGCTCAACCACCTATAAGCTGTGTGGTTCCAGATAATTCCCTCTGGGCCTCAGTGTCCTTACTGGAATAAAACATCTGCCTTTCATGGCTGGTGTGACAACGAAAGAACCTGTTTATTGAGTATATATCGGGCATCTGCAAGGTGCTGGGATTTGAAGAATGAAAGATACTGTACCTGCCCCTACAGAGGTCAAGTTTATTTGGAGAAAATCAGAGGGAGTGTCCATACCCTAGAGCCTGATATCTCATCTGGGTGATGCTGAGGGCACAGTGGGTAGGGACACACACCCTTCAGAGCCACATTGCCTGGGTTCAAATCTGAGCACAAGCACTTAGTAGCTGGGCAACTTCCGATAGCCCCCACCTCCATGCCTCAGTCTCCCCACCTGCAAGGGGGGCGCTGATAATCTCATCTCCCTCCCAAGGCTGTGGACTGAAAAGATGGGTTCACGCATATGAAAGCTGGAAAGCCAGCCCTGGCTCAGTAAATGTGAGCTTTCATGGTTTCTTGACTGACAACTAAACACCAAGTCTTGGATGGTTCTGTTAATGTATGCATCCCAGCATCAAGCGCTCAAGTATTCTCTGAGTAATGGAAAAACGGATGGAGCTAAAGACGGAGGCAGGTAAAAAGCCAGGAAGACAAAGGAGAGATCCCACGGAAAGATGGCACAAGATACACAAGAGAAGGATCTGAAGAGGACGCCAGTCCAGCCCTGACACAAACACGCACACAGGCAGGCGGGCACTCACAGGAAGCCGAGAAGGGGACAGGCAGAGGGGGAGAGGAGGAGAGACAGATGGTAGGGCAGGGGAAGAGGGGGAGGAGGGGAGAGGGAAGGGGAGGGAGAGAGTGTGATTTGGAGGGGAGAACAGGAGCTGGGAGGAAAGGAAAAGCAGATTGGGGGAGGGGCAGAGAGGAGGAAAGGGAAAAGTAGGAAAGAAGAGACACCTAATGGGATCAGAAGGAGGGAGGAAGGAGAAGGGGAAGGAAGGAGCAGTGCTGGATGCCCAGCCCCTCCAAGTTCACAGGTGTGCAGGGAACAGGGCTGGACAAGGCAGGAATGAATGTGTGAGAGAGGGAAGCTTTGAGAGATGGAAGAAAGCCAGGAGAAGCATCTGAGGGCAGAGGAGAATGGGGCTGGGATGAGCCAGGGGTGTGAGCATGGAGGAGGGAGGCGGAGGGAGGGATTTGCCTAGGAGGATAAAAGGGCTTTGGTTTCTGGGTTGCCCACTAGCAGGCAGGGGCCCTGCTTGTACTGGGTCAGAATGGGTCACTGGGCCACATACGATGGGCAGACAGCCACTGCCCCGCCCCTGTGACCCTCGTGTGGCTCTGCCCGTTGGAGGCTGTGGCGGGCCTGGTAGGGACTGAGCTTCCTCTGCCCCCTCCTCTATGGACACTGGGCGGCTTCTTCATGGGGCTGGCTCTGCCCCTGGGAGCCACCCCAAGCCCCTCCGGAGAGGCGGGGAGGGGCAGGACCGCCCTCCTCCCTGGCCCAGGCAGAGCCACTGAGGGCACACAGCCTGGGGGCGGGTCTCCATCGCCCAAGCTTTCCAGTGTGTTCTCTGAAACACCTTCTTCACTTCTGCAAAACCTCTTTCTCCTGGTTCTGTCTTGCCTCTTGGATTCGTCTTTCTCAGCTCTTTTCTCTCCCTCCCCTTAAATGGTGGTGTCTTCAGGGCCACAATTGTGGTTCTCCCCCAGACGATTGGGTCCCACAGGGTACAAATGGCAACATCTGGAGATATTTGGGGTTGTTGCCACTTGGGGGGGCAGGTGCTCCTGGCATCTAGTAGGTAGAGGCCAGGGGTGCACAGGGCAGCCCTCCCCACAAAGTCTTCTCTGGTTCAAGATGTTGTCTGTACCAAGGCTGAGAAACGCTGCTCGGCACAGCCTCCCTGAGCAAGCTCACGCACTTATAATTAAAAAAAAAAAATTACCAGTACCCTTAGAACTCTGCTGGGCGATACCAGGGCAGGGCCCCCAGCCTCAAACTCAAGCTGTTTCAAACAGTGCAGTTCTTCACCCCCAGTGTGCTCCTCTCGTTTTCTCTCCCAGGTCATTATGAGCCTGGAGAGTCGCTGTCTACCCTTCTCTCTCCTTCACTCCATGCAGTGGATTGATGCCATGGCCTCAGTCTTACTCCTCATGCAGTGCCTCTCACATCTGTCCCTTCCTTGCCACCTCCACTTCCACTGCCCTCGCTCAGATCCTCATTGGCCCATCCATCCCTCCATCCATCCATCCATCCATCCATCCATCCATCCATCCATCTATTGGTCTGCCCATCCATCCATCCATCCATCCATTGGTCTGCCCATCCATCCATCCATCCATCCATCCATCCATCCATCCATCCATCCAACCATTGGTCTGCCCATCCATCCATCCATCCATCCCTCCCTCCCTCCATCCGCCCATCCATCCATCTATTGGTCTGCCCATCCATCCATCCATCCATCCATCCATCCATCCATCCATCCCTCCCTCCCTCCATCCGCCCATCCATCCATCCGCCCATCCATAAGACAACCATCTATTTGGTACCTCCTAAGTGGCTGGCACTGGGCTACTCCAGTAAGCAGTGGTAAAACCAATGGGCCTGTCCCTGTCCTCCCTTTCCAGGGCTTCCTCTGGCCTGGTGTACCTGGCTGCAGTCTCACCTGTGCACAAATCCTCCATAGTGAGGAGAAGCCACCCACTCTCTCTCCCGCCCTTACGCCTTGTCTCCCTGCTTCTCCTCCTCGGGTGCCTGCACACCCACCCTTCCTGCACCTCCACTTCCCAGTTTAATATCTTAAGTAGGATAACAATGAATCCCATGTGTCTGGCTTTGCTCTTTATAAAGCTCTTGCTCATTTTATGTTGGGAGGACCTCATAGAACAGTTGGGACAGATGGAGAAATAGGGTCCCAGAGGACAGGTGGCTTTGCCAAGGTCGCACAGCTAGTGGGTGGTCGTCTGGGGACTGGGACTCGTTGCGCATGCGGGCCAATCAGAGGGGGTGAGGGCCCCTCCCCCTCCCCCCGCCCCGTCCCCCCGCCTGCCCCCGCACCCACCTAGGGCGCCGGTGTGGCGCTGCGCTGTCTTGCGTGGCCTCCTGGCGTCGGGGTCGCACACCCACTGCTGGCAGCAGCGGCCGGGGACGCTGACCCGCCGGGGGCGATGGCACCAGAGGCGCGGGGGGCGCGCGCGCAGGCACAGGGGTGTGCAGCCCACCGCGCCGTCCACGCACGTGCAGTTGTACTTGCAGTTGGGCTGGAAGGACTGGCCGTTGGTGTAGCGCACCCCGTCCAGGACGCAGCCCACGCCGACTACCTCTGCAAACACACGCGCCGCTCGGGTCAGGCCCGCTGGGCTCGCGCCCCGCCGGGGACACCGCCCGCCTCGACCCG